GCTACTCTTGTGTTATTGTGTAGAGCCTCGAATCCCTATAAATTTTTGCCAGTTAGATTATGTAGAGCATCGAATCCCTAAATCTGGAAAATATCTCTTTAGCAACGATTCGGACATCGACATCAACGTAGTCTTTTCGTTATCCTCGGTGTGCTCTCCATTAGAACTTCAAGGATGCTTCGAATCATCTTAATGGTTGATCCTAAAACAATAACCCGAAAAGACTAACGTGCAGATCAAGTCAATTACTTTCCATTTAGGGTTATACCAAATCATTCCCCCTCCAATCATTTACACCAATGCTTTGGATTAAATCCCCAAGAACATGAAGATAAGCTCCTTGCACATTCATGGAATTCGTCCAACTAGGAATGCTCAACCATATTTGTTCATACAACATTCATATGCTTAGATGTACATATCAATAAATAGAGATTTTGTAAATATCATGTCTGTTCTAAGATTTTCATTTGGGTGATGGTTTGATGATTTATCAAGCAGCAGCTACAGACTCTGACAGTTCTTCCATGAGTTCCTTTTGCTCCAAAGCAGCACAGGCCTGCAATAAGAATGGAATTAATATTCACATTAACTGTTAAAACCGCAAAAAGGTTTTAGGGTTTTGGGTCGCGATTCTACCTGCACTGCATCCTCTAAGCCACCATCTAGAAATGATGTAAGCGAAAAGTTCATCTTTAGCCTATGATCAGTCACTCTACTATCCTGTAAGTTTTCAGACATCATAAGCATCACAGAAATCATCCTGTTTTTAAAGCGAGGGCACTGAATAATCCGCGTGTTACCTTATAATTGTATGTTCTTATCTTTTCTGAACGAGCTCCAGTCCCAACCTGCTTCCACAAGAATCAACATAGAGCATGATAAGATGAATATTCATTCGATGATGAACTTGAATCAAAAATGGCAGTTACGGAATAGTAAACTGACCTGAGATTTTCTCTGACTGCTTATCTTCTCTTGTTGTTCCCTTACTTTAATTTCATACCTAATATATCTCAATGTATCAATAAGAAAGACTGCAGTGGAAGAAGAGTAGAGAGTTTGTTCCTTGAATGTTTGTTTGCTTACAGTTTTGCTCGCAGAAGCTGGAAAGCACGAGCCTTGTTCCTAAGCTGAGTCCTTTCTTCTGTGCAGAAAATGCGTATACCTGATGGTTTGTGGAATAGATCTATAGCCGTCTCCACCTTGTTCACATTTTGCCCTGCATCGAGACTCTTTTCAGTATTCTTCAGAGGTGAAATGTGAGAGAAACAAAAAGTGAATTTCTTTAGCCTGACCTCCAGCACCACCAGATCTTGCAGTTGTAACTTCAATGTCCTTGGGGTCAATCACAACTTCTACTTCATCAGCCTATTATAACAACAGAGAGAAAGCAAAAGATGACGTATTCGATTGGTTGCTGCTAAGTTTTCAGAATATCGAAGAAATGCAAGAAGTGAAATCTACTCTAGCTTACCTCAGGCATGATGGCAACAGTTGCTGTAGAAGTGTGTACACGTCCCTGTGTTTCTGTTTGAGGAACACGCTGGACTCTATGAACACCAGACTCGTATTTTAGCTTGCTATACACACGATTTCCTTTTATCTCCATCACACACGTCTTGTAACCTCCATGTTCAGCCTTATAAAAGTAGGAAGATTAGGAGATATATAAGTGAGCACATGTCTCTAAGTTGCTATACTCTACTGCAATCTTCTTTACAAATTCCTTAAAATGTCAGAAAACAGAGCATCTTACCTCTGAGCATGAAACCAGAGAAAACTTCCAAGAGCTGCGCTCGCTGTACCTCTGATACATCCGAACCTGCAAGTAAAGGAATAATGCAAAGCAGATTAGTTCGCCGTAAGATATGAAGCTTTCAGTTACTGCATTTGCTTAGCCATGATATATAGGATCAATCACATTTTAAGGTTTTTCATAAGTAGGATTGAAACAAAATGGTGAATCATCATCAGATTGCGTTTTCATTTACGAAATTCCAAGCAGTGGAGATCAGAAGACCGTAGAGTGAGATAGAGGAATAGAAGAAATAAAGGAAAGCATGTACCTACAAGGTCACCAGTCCAAATTGCAGCTTCATCTCCACCAGTTCCTGCTCTAACTGTAGAAAGAGCTAAAACTTTAAACTCGTCCAGAAGTAGATAAATTTGACAATGCAGGAAAGTCCGAGAAAAAAAAGCACAAATTCAGTGAACCGAATTGCTCGTCAACATAGAGTTAGTCAGTTACCTTCGAGCAATATGTTTCTGGCATCAAGAGGATCGGTAGGAAGAAGTAACATCTGACACAAGTAAACACAAACGTTACAAAATAAGGATTCAGAGCAAGAGTAGAAAAGGGCATCTGCAAATATTTGAAATCAGCAACATTCTACTATCCGCTGCCAAATAACTCAACTATGGGACCAAGTCCAAGGGCATTGCCTAATTACATGCTGAAATAAAAAAAGGGTCTAAACCTTGAGTTGTTTTTCAAGCTCCTCAATTTCTTTAGTGAGCGAGTTCATTTCACTTCCTATCATTTCAGCCATATCTTCATCGTCTCCAGCCTCTTTCGCCAAAACTGAACCCAT